AACTCAAAATGCAAAGTGAGCAGAGCTTGGAACCAGGAGACACATACTCTCAGACTCCAGGGTCGGGGAGAAAAGAATGAGCTCATTTGGCTCAGTGGGTACAGGCACCTGTTTGCTCACCAGCCTCGTAGTTGTTGAGAGTCTTCTCTGGATCCCACTTCTGATCACCAAGTAATGTTGACCTCAAGGTTAAAACAGCCCGTTATTTTATCATTTATTTGGGAATGGCAAAGGAACTGCAATTGGGGACATGCAAATGATGGCAGACCCATAAGCAAGACCTGAGATCAAAGGAGAGGGACGTTATTTTCTAGAGAAAAGGAGGAAGTTGGGAGGGGCTGCTTTGAACGAAAGTCCACTGGCGGAAAACAGGAGTTCAGGATGGTGATGGCTTCTCATTGGCAGGGCTGTTGCTGGGCATGAAGAAAAACCTTCCTTCCTCCCACTGGGGTAGTAGAGTAGGCTTTGTTCTGTTAGGAAATGCAAGATACACTTCTTTGTTGGAGTCTGCAATTGATGACAAATTGATGGAGTGTGAGAGCTCCCCCTGCTGACTTCCCCATTGTGTTCTAAATGAGGTGTCCTGCATTCAGCTTCACAAGTCTGTCACCACACTTTGTCAACTCTTCCTCCAGAATATATCTGTCATCTTCCTCGTTCTCTCTCCTTTCATCTGCCATCATCCCAATCCATGGTGACATCTTCTCACCTGAGGTACTACAGCAGTTCCTATGTACTGTCCCAGCATTCCTTCACCACATTGCAGCCAGTGCCGTCTTTTACGTAAATCAGACTGTTCTCCTCTTTGTAAAACACTTTATTGGTTCCCATCACAAATGGAATAAAATCCAAACTCCTTCCCATGGTTTACAGAGCCCTGGATGATTTTGCTCATGTCCTCCTCACTCGCTTTATACCCCTCTTCTCCCTTATTCACTTATGCTACAGTGAATACAGTGAATTCAGTGAATACAGTGAATACAGAGCTTGTGCTCTGTCTCGCCCTGTCTCAAAAATAAATAAACGTTAAATTGTTTTTTATATAGAATTAAAAAAGAATTAATGTTTATTTATTGTTGAGAGAGAGAGAGCAAGAGACAGAGTGAGCAGAGAGGGGCAGAGAGACATGGAGACACAGATTCTGAAGCAGGCTCCAGGCTCTGAGCTGTCAGCACAGAGCCTGATGTTGGGATTGAACTCATGAGCCATGACATCATCACAAGAGCTGAAGTTGGACGCTCAACCAACTGAGCTACCCAGGTGCCCCCAGGAGAGTCACATTTTAAATGATTATACTAACATTCTTGTTCATAAAGGGAGTTTGATATACGATGTAGTAGAGAACCTCAGTTTAATTAACAGGAAAAATAATGCCTACCTTGTAGGATTGTTGTAAGGTTTAAAAACCGCATTTAAGAATTATCCGAATGTAATAGATACTCAGGGTAAGAATCTCACTTCTCATTTGGAAACTGATTTTTTATTTTCAAATATGGGCACATTTTGAAAATTAAGCTTATAGAAAGTGTTTTCACTGTAAAAGATAAAAGCAGTGTAGACCAGTTTTTTTTCCTTTTGCCCTTTATTTGCCATCCCTTCAACACTCTCCCTCCATATCTTTCTCTCATATTCAGTCTCAACCCATAAAAGCTTTTATCTCATGTTAGAGATTTGGGTCATTTTTTAATGTCTCACTTTTTAATAATAAAAACCATGATTTTAGAGTCATGGTAACTTCTTTAGTCATTTTGCTAAATTGTTCAGTAGATTGTTCAACGATATGGCTTACATATCTTTTTTTTTT